GCAGCCGATCTGCGCAGCGCTATGCGTCATCTGATGTCCTCACCGCTGCTTCCATTGGCATTGATGGCAGAACCAAGCAGTGTGAAGTCTTTGACACCTTCGATCTTTTCTCCACTTATTTTGATGCTGCTTATAGGTTCAGTTGTGAGGATTTTTATTTTCTTTATACTGAGATGTAATCCATACTGCAAACTGCATTCTTCAATCTTCATCAGTAAGTGCTTCAAGTCATCCTCACTTTCAGCAAGCAAACTTGTGTTGTCAGCATATCTCAGGTTATTAATGATTCTTCCTCCAAATCTCAGTGCCACATTCTTCTTCATACAGTCCAGCTTCTCAGATTATTTGCTCAGCATATAGATTGAATAAGAATCGTGAAAGGATACTACCCTGACATACTCCCTTCTTCATTTTAAACCATGAAGTGTCCCTTTGTTCTCTTTGAATGACAGTCTCGTGGTCTATGCACAGGTTCCTTATGAGTACAACTAAATGCTCTGGAATTCCCATTCTTCTCAAAGTTATCCATAATTTGTTACGATCCACACAATCAAATGCTTTTGCATTGTCAATAAAACACAAGTAAACATCTTTCTGGTATTCTTTGCTTTGAGCCAAGATCCATCTGACATCAGCAATGATATCCCTCATTCCACATCCTTTTCTGAATCCAGCTTGCATTTCTGGACGTTCTTTGTCAATAAACTGCTGCAAATGTTTTTTAATTACCTTCAGTAAGATTTTACTTGCATGCCATATTAATGATATTGTTTGATAATTTCCACATTGGTGAGATCACCTTTCTTTGGAATGGGTACAAATATGGATCTCATCCAGTCAGTTGGCCAGGTAGCTGTCTTCCAAATCTCTTGGCATAGCCGAGTGATTGCCTCCAGTGGGACATCCATTTGTTGAAACATCCCAGTGGGTATTCCATCAATTCCTGGAGCCTTGTTCTTTGGCAATTCCTTCAGTGCAGCTTCGACTTCTTCCTTCAGTACCATTGGTTCTTGATCATATACCACCTCCTGAAATGGTTGAACATCAACCATTTCTTTTTGGTACAGTGATTCTGTGTATTCCTGCCATCTTCTTTTGATGCTTTCTGCATCATTCAGTATTTTGCCCATAGAATCTTTCAATATTGCAACTTGAGGCTTAAATTTTTTCCTCAGTTTATTCAGCTTGAGAAAGGCCAAGCATGTTCTTCCCTTTTGGTTTTCTAACACCACATCTTTGCACATTTCATTATAGTAATTGGCTCCGTCTACTCTAGCTGTTCTTTGAAATCTCCCGTTCAGCTCTTTTATCTTGTCATTTCTTCCATTTGCTTTAGCCACTCTCTGCTCAAGGGCAAGTTTCAGAGTCTTTTCTGACATCCATTTTGGTATTTTCTTCCTTTCTGATGTTTTTAATGACCTTTTACTTTCTTCATGGATGATGTTCTTGATGTCATCCCACAGTTCCTCTGGTTTTCAGTCACTGGTGTTCAATGCATCAAATCTATTCCTTAGATGGTCTCTAAATTCAGGAGGGATATACTTAAGGTCATATTTTGACTCTCGTGGACTTGTTTTAATTGTCTTCAACTTCAAGTTGATCTTGCTTATGAGCAGTTGATGGTCTGTTCCACAATCAGCTCCTAGCCTTGTTTTGGCTGTAGATATTGAGCTTTTCCATTGCCTCTTGCCACATATATATTCAATCTGTTTCCTGTGTACTCCATCTGGCAAAGTCCACGTGTATAGCCACCATTTGTGTTGTTGTAAAAAAGTATTTGCAATGAATAAATTGTTGGTCTTGCAAAATTCTATCATGCAATCTCCAGCATTATTTCTGTCACCTAAACCAAATTTTCCAGCTACCAGTGATTCTTCTTTGTTTCTAACTTTTGCATTCCAGTCACCAGTGTTAATTAACACCTCTTGATTGCATGTTTGGTCAATTTCAGACTGCAGAAGTTGATAAAAGTCTTCAATTTCCTCATCTTTGGCTTTGGTGGTTGGTGCATAAATTTGAGTAATAGTAGTATTAACTGGTCTTCCTTGTAGACACATGGATATTATCTGATCACTGACAGCATTGTACTTTAAGACAGATATTGAAACCTCCTTTGAGATGATGAATGTAATGCCATTCCTCTTCGAATTGTCATTCCCAGCATAGTAGATCATATGGTTGTCTGATTCAAAATCTTTATGCCTTCCATTTTATTTTTGACAACTTCCAATTTTCCTAGGTTCGTACTTCATACATTCCATGCTCCGATTATTAATGGACGTTTGCAGATATTTCTCCTCAAACTGAGTCATGCTATGTCAGCAAATGGAGGTCCTGAAAGCTTTACTTTATCATTAAGATTGGTTCTACTCTGATGATGCAGCTTTCTCTCAGTTGTATTTTGAGTGCCTTCCGACCTTAGGGGCTCATCTTCCTGTGCTGTATCGGACAATGTTTCTGGGCTATTCATAAAGTTGTCTGATAATGTATCAGACAGTGTTTCTCTGCTATTCATAAGGTTTTCCCTGGCCAATTCTTTGAGAAGTGGATGGCCTCTTCCTTCTTCCTAGTCTGTCTCAGTCTGTAAGCTTCTTTGAAACATGTGCATCATGTGCAACCCTGCTGGTATTTGCAAACCTGCTGGTATCAGGGCATAGCCTCAAGCCTCACAGCAACACGCAAGCCACCACAGTACGACAAACTGACAGACAAGTTCATTCCCCTTAGCTGTTGGAAACCTCTCTGCCCTCACCTTGCCTGGATCCTGTAGCTTTGTCATCCCAGGCTTTTTCCCTCCTTTCCTGCCTCTTGGGTGAGGCCTGTCTTCCTCACTTTACAGGTGATAGTCCTGTGATATTCTAAGCTAGCCATACTTTCTTAAAGGAATGAAGGATAGCTAAACTAAGAGAGTTTAGCTTAGCTTATCTAGAGAGAGGAGCTCTGGTAGTGTAGTGCCTAAGGCACTCGATTGCTAACCAGAAGGTTCATGGTTCAAACCCACCAGCCACTCCTTGGAAGGAAGGTTCGGCAATCTACTTCCATAGTGATTCTGC